GTGAGGCTGCAAGGAAAGGCACTGTTCTACACTACTGATGGGAAGGTAAACTGGTATAAGCACTGTGGAAATCAGGATGGAGATTCCTCAGAAAACTAAACATAAAAATTCCATTCAACCTACCTACTCCCCTTCTAGTATCTTCTTCAGAGAGCTAATGACATTGTATTACAGTAGTACATGCATACCCATGTTTATTGCTGCACAATTCAATAGCTAAAGCCTGAAAGTGGTGTATATGCTCATCAACAGATAAATGGGTAAAGAAAATATGGCATTTATACATAATGGAGTACTACTCAGCTATAAAGAAGGCTAAACTTGAGTCATTTGTGGGAAAATGGATGAGACCATAATGTTAACTGAAGTAAATCAGGCACACAAACTTAAATGTTCCGTAACTTCTCTTATATGAGCAGTATAAGAGTATAAGTCATCAAAAAATAAATAAAAGATAATAGGAAATGGAGACGGATTTTTTGCAAATGGAAAGTGATCAGTGATGAAAGGATGGAGACAGGGAGGGAAAGAGGTGGGAAATTTAAAAAAGCAAAAAACCAACCACCCAATTACATTGGGCGGGGGGTGACAGCTGTACACCTGGAAGGGAGTTAGGGCTTTTCACTTCATGCAAATGCCCAGATTCCTTCCACCCTCAAGCGTGACTCTAATAGCGGTTCACCGTTACCCATTTAAGGGCTGCAGTGTCCATGCTGCTTCCCGTTCTTTGCTGATGCAGTATCAGCGATTTGTGTCTTTTCTCATTTATCTGCTGCCCTTGCCAGAGGGATAAAGATTTTACTGCCTCCCAACCAGCTTTTATTTGTTTTACTTTCTGCTTTCTAATTTTTGCTTTTCTTCCCCCCTCATTATGGTTTGTGTCTGGATGTCCCCCGGAATCTTCATGCAGTCATGGGGCAGGCTTCTAGTTTTGATTCATGGTTGTGACTGCAACACTGCCCTGGGACAGGTAGTTGGCATACGATGTAAGGGAGAGGAAGAGGCCGCTTGCCTCCACTCCTCCCTTTTGCTCTTGTTGCTTTTTTGTCTTCCATTGCCATGAACTGCTGCCCTCTGCCATGTGCCACTCTGTCTGGGAGCTAGCCGAGTATAGACTGAAACCTCCGCCAACTGTGAGCTAAATAAACCTTTCCTTCCTTAATTTTGGGCATCAGGTACTGTGTCTCAAGAGAAAAGTAACCAAGACACCCCCAAAGCAATGTTGCCCACCAGTGCGTCTTAGAAATCAAGAAAAGTGACACTTCTAAGGAGAACGCGCTGTCCATATTGCCCCAGGCTGTAGAGACCAAAATGAGGATGGAAACTCAGGAGAGATAGCGGAGTTGACAGGGAGGTGGAACTTTAAGGGTTTTGGTCATACACAGGAGACTGAAGTTGAGGTTTTTATGGGCCAGTGCACATGCAGTAAAGACAGTCTTGCAGTCTAACAGCCATGGTCAGACACGGCCTGTCTCGTTTTTCACGTAGTCCACAAATAAAGCCTGTTTTTCACATTTGCAAGTACTTAAAAAAATATGTAACTGCTTAATTTATATAAACTTTAAACCTTGTGGGGTTTTTTGTTTTGTGTTGAGTTTTGAGACAGTCTTGCTATATAGTTCAGGCTGGCCTTGAACTCACTGTGTAGTCCAGGCTGGCCTTAAACTCACAGGGATTCTCCTGCCTCTGCCTGCCAAGTGCTGGGATTACAGGCGTGTGCCACCACACGCAGCACCAACCTCATGTTTACATAAAAGTTTTTATTGCAGCGGAGCCACATTCATTTATGCATTCTCTATGACTACACTTAGGCTAAGTAACTGTAAGACACACCAACCACATAAACAGGACACTAAACTATTCGCTATCTTTACTGAATAGCTTTTCCAAACTCTGATTTAAAGGATTCACTTCAACAAATGCAGTGTACTATAGTATAGCATAATGCATTATAATTTATGGCCACTTATGAACTATGTGGCTTGGCGGGGCGTGGTGGCACACGCTTGTAATCCCAGCACTCGGGAGGCTAAAGCAGGAGGATCGCGGTGACCTGCCTGGGCTACAAGGTGAGCTCAAGGCCAGCCTGGACTACATAGCAAGACCTTGTCTCAAAAAGACAAAAAAAAAAAAGAACATTAAAAAAAAAAAAAAACTATGTGGCTTAACTGAACACAGCTAAATCAAAAGGTCCTCTACCACCTGAAAATACCGCGGAGGGGGCGAAACAGGAGTTCCACACTGAATACTGAATACGTACCTAGTGTTTTTCACGCAGTGGGCAGCTGTGAGGACCCACCTGTCTCTCACTAGGCTTCCTCCACACACGTGCACCAGAGCACGGCCGTGCTCAACCTGCAGGCTAACTATCCACGGCCAGGCCCCGGCTTGTGCTTCCGTGCCTCCTACAATCCGAGGCCCTGTCCACACATCTCTAAGCGGTGCTGATCCGCAATCTAAAGATAAAAATGGTGTATTACTTGAACTGAGCACCTGTATTACCGTATCTGTTCCTTCCCAATCTGAACACATTCATATAAACCTTTACATTCCTGTTTTAAAAACTGATGAGTCAAACTGGATACCTGAGGAAGGCCCAGATTTTTTTTTTTTTTTTTTCCTTTTTGAGACAGGGTCTCCCTATACAGTTCAGGCTGGCCTTGAGCTCACTTTGTAGCCCAGGCTGGTCTCGAACTCACACCGATCCTCCTGCCTCAGCCTCACGAGTGCTGGGATTACAAACCTGAGCCACCACGCCCGGCAGGCCCAGATTTTGAAAGGCTCTTCTTAAAGGATAAATAAGATAAACACACCACAGTTGATTACGTCCAAACAGACGTCAGCACCACTTAAAAACTACTCCCCGTTTCGCGGGGAGGGTGGCGTCCCGCTGGGGAAACAGCGAGGGCCGGGCGGGGCGCGGTCCCGCCGGGGGGAGAGGCCTTCCCCGCCCGCACCCGGGCGTTACTAACTGCACGGTGCGCGACGCGCCCGCAGCCGCGCGACCCGCACAAGGACGGAGGGGCGCGTCCCGAGCGCTCGGCTCTGACGTG